ATGGCTTAAACTTATTTCGTAATTCATTTATAACACCTTTCGGTAACGGTGATTCCTTCGAAATTTTCCAAGTTAACCGATTCGCGTCCTCGAAATCTGTATCGTGAACCGACTCTAAAAAAAATAAAAAATCCAATCAGCAATACCATACAAATATTAATTGTAGATTGAGATGAAGTCGGAAATAAACTCACTTTCTTGTTGATATCCTGGTTCCTTTGGTTTTGGAGGAAATGGAATGATGATATTTGTACCACAAATCACACGTCGCCATCGTATTATGTCTTTTCCATCTAAATTTACTTTTTTCCAATCAACTCGAACTTGTCTCCTGATATCATTAATTGATGTGAGCAATTCGAATTTCACATTTAGATGCAGGTACAAAAGCTCGACTCCTTCGAGACAACTTACTTCTCTTTGGCCGGAATGAGATCGCTGTGATAATTGACAAATTTCGAGGTTTAGAATTATGATTTAAATAATTTCTGATTATAATATTACACACTTACTTTTTCAAATCATCTGGATGCACATGCATAACATTTGATACATGGATTGGTTTCAGAGTACTCTTCATCCACCAGCCACCGGTTTTGTCTTTATTTTGTGGTTCTTCGTCCATCTGAAGCTCTAAACTTTTTGTCATTCTTCCCTATGTAAAATTCAATTTATTTGATGAGCGATTTCGATAAAAATTTGAAGACTTTTCATACTTACCATCTTTACGTTTTCTACCCAAACTCGATTTGTATATTTGTCTACCTGTTGCACCTTTCCAATTTTATGCTTATCATCACCCGTAATAACTTTTACCTATAAACCACCAGTAGTTTTGTCGAATTATATACCACGTTCTTCATAAGCTTTTCTGATACAGAACATTTTACGTTCCTAATGGTCTTTCAAAGGACTGATAGGTTTTCGGCGGAGTCCTTACCATATCTCCTTTAATAATTTTCCACCTTTCGATCCTATCCTTTGGATGAACCCATTTCTTCTTGTGTTCAAGCTTCGTAGACGTTTTTTCTTTAAATTTTGACCATACTTCTCGTAACATATGAATCGGTTTGTTCCGCATTTTTTCTTTATATACAGTATATTCTAGGAAGTTGAAATAATTTTTAAACAAAAAATTCGCGATCTATGATTATGCTTAATGTTGATTGGCAGATTTCATCTTTTTTTACACAAAATCAGTTTTACGTATTCACTTTACCACTAAACCAAAATAATAAAACTTGTTTTTGGTTACAATAGAATTAATGGTTAATATATTGCATAATTTGTAATTTTTTTTAAAAAATTAAGTTTTTTAATAAAGGATAATTATTTAATATAAAAAACGATATAAATTTTATTTATTTTTTTTTTTTTATATTAATAATACGATTTATTAAACGTATTTCTTAATAACTTTGTTTAAAAATAAATTTTTTTTTTTTAACCATTGGTCGTTAAAATGATTATGGTAAATTTCCTAATTGTACATACACAAGGTGAGATTTTTCCTAATGAATGAATCTTGTACTCTTTATTTTGAAAAAAAAAAAATTTCATCCAGAAGTTTTGAAAGTTGAGCCAATGAAAACAATCGATGCTTCATCACATGAACAATAATCAACTCGTTTTCACCCAATCCAACAAAAAGATTTTACAATAGCAACGTACTCCCTTTCTGTCCTTGAGAAAGGGCTTAATAAGTGATTCAG